GGAGCTAAGGACCTATTCAGCTGAGAGAGCCAAGCATTTGTGTTCCAGCATTTGGTGTTCCGGGTCAGATAGCGGCAAGTGGGCAAACCCTAAACTAGAATTAGGTTGATTATTATTTATCCTTGTCTCCACGTCTCGGGGTGGGTGTGGTGTTTTTCTCTCCCCCGGCTGACATCGGAGCAGCGCTGCCGCCCTCTCCCGGCTCTGCAAGCTGCAAAGCTGCCAAAACCTCTGTATTCCCAGCACAGCCAGCCGCCGCCTGGCAGCAAACAGGGGGAAATAAAACCGGGGAAAACAAACAAACAAACAAGCACCAAGGAGAAAATGGAGAAAAAAATTTTAAAAAGGGGGGGGGGGGGGAGGAAAAAAGGCAGAAAAAAGGGAAAAAAAGAAAAGGGGGGGGGAAGGGGGAAAAGAAAAAGAAAGGGGAACAAGAAGAATAAAGGAAAAGCAGAAAAAACAAAGAGAAAAAAGGAAAAAGAAAAATGAAAAAGAGAGAAAAGAAAAATAGGGGGAGGGGAGGGGAGAGGGACAGGATTGTTCTTCAATGAGGGGGTGGCCAAGCACTGAAACAAGATCTCAGGGAAGTGATGATGGTCCCAAAGCTGTTGCTGTTCAAAAAACACTTGTACAATGATATATAGATTAGATAGTTAGATATAGATATATATTTAAGATATAGATATAGATATATATCTAACTATCAATCTTAGATAGATAGTTTTAGATAGATATATCTAAATATCTATCTTAGATAGATAGTTTCACTTTTAGGTTGTTCTGTGTGGAGTCAGGAGTTGTACTCAATGATCCTCATGAGTCCCCTCCAACTGAGAATATTTTATGACTCTAAATATTAGCACTAAAGCTCAATTCCATTTAGTTACCATGCTTGCAGGACAGGATCTCAAAATACAATAGCAATATATTAGCAAATGCTAATATTTGATGAAATAAGGCAAATAGACTTTAGTTGCACCATATCTTTTCTCATTAGGGTTTTTCTAAGAGTATCAAACCACTGTATGAACTACCAGCGCTGAAACAGTATCAGTTCCATTTACCAATTCTTGCACCTGAGGCAGGAAACATTTAATGCCACACACTGTATAAAACAGCAATGTAAAAGACAGCCAGGGAAGGGATACAGAAAACATTATCTCCATTTCAGAGTTCAGAACAGAAGCACAGAAAGACTAAAGGAAACACCTAAAGTCACTTCTGCACTGGACTGAGCTGGGGATATTGCATAGAAGCATAAGCACTTAGATCTGTTCCATCATGGCATTTCAAGGAAGCAGGAGAGGACATGAGGGCAGATGCCTCTGTGCTATTACTGACAGAACATTTTTCCATTCTTACTTGTAGGAATTGTGGAGAAACAAAGACTTTCCTCCTTGTGTCATAACTGCTTGGAGGCTCTCCTGACCTTTGTTTCCCCCTCCCATTTTTCCAGGTGATTAAGCTGTGCAGTCAGAAAGCATGGCTGTAATGCCAAGAAGCCAGCAATTTTAACACCACAAAAGGATAATTGTGCAATACTTCAGGCCATATTAGTTTCAGCACAGACTGACCCTCAGCTGGTGATGACAGAGCGCCAACAGCTCCCAGCACAATGACTGACAGAACTGGGACATGGCAAATTGCACTTTCAAAGCCTGCAGCAGAACAAGAGTTAGGGGACTCGCTTTGCATTAAAACAGGCTTGTGCCATATTCTTAGAACAAGTGATAAAGTAGGACAGCACATGACTACTTCCCTTCTAAACCATTCCACTTGAAACATCTTTCATCCACCTCTCATTCTCCTTTGCTGGCTTGTGAAAGATAGTTGCCCATACTACTAGTGTAACATTGCCTGAATTCTTACACTATTCCATACACTTGTACTAAATTAAAGAGATCTTTGATACCTGCAAATGTCACATCAATTGGAAGAACAGCTTAGGTTGTGATATCCATCAGTGTGTGAGTAACCTCAATTCAGTGGTACAATTGAGCCTGAGTATATTACTGCTGAACTAGGGGTCTCAGTGTTGTACCTGTAAAGACTAAGCCATAACTGAGGCACTCACTTGTTCAATATTTTGACCCTCCCTCCAAAATATTTGCTCACATTTTCATATTGGGTGCTCTGTAACATTCCAAACCTGTAAGTATGTGATGCTGCCTCAGTGTCAGCAATTGGGGCACCAGAGAGAAGATCCTGAATTAGAGACCCTGGAGTTAATCAGAAGTAAATACGTAAGTGAAATATAGGTTGTCCACTCTGGGCAGAGGAATCTGAGTTGCATTGCTCAGCTTCAGGATGTTTCTGCATTTTTGCCAGTTACTATCTAACTTTAAAAGAAGACTTAAAAAATAGTTGATCCTTTTCCCACAGATCCCAGGAACTTTGCCAGCTGTTCTCAGCTGTGGTGTGACTTCCCCTGTCAACATTCTCCCTGCAGGATATCCCATGGTCTGAGGCAAGGAGCCCTTCCTTGGGAAGGGAACTTGAACCCATCCAGAGCAGGAACTGAAGGGAGCCCAACATCTCTCACTTTCCAGGACTTAAGGTAAGCAACTGCTGTTACAAAGACAGGCTTAAACAAAAATTACAAAATTTAGGGCAAACTCCTACTTTCAAGAGATCACTTACCTACCAAAGTGATAAGAAAATTCCCTCCTCTGGTCCTGAGCCAGCCACTCAAGAGAGGGGTAAAATACCTGACATCTCCTCTTGCCACCCAGTTTCTATCAGGAAAGTAGATGTGGAATGGAGGACCTGGGCCCTCACTCTAGGAAACGAGGACTTGACAACTCAAATGCTTTTCTTCTCTCAATTCTGTAATGTTCTGGATGTGTGATTAAACTCTGAGTTGTTGAGTCCTGGTGACTCAGTATGTGTATAGTAAAACTAGTTTCCTGTTCCTGGACCTTTAAAAAAAAAATCAGTATTCATTTCAGCTTGTGCTGACAGCTGAAACTGTAAGAAATATTAAACTAATATTTTCATTTTCAGAGTGTGCTTTGAACAGAACAGCCTTAATTTAAGAGTTATTTTAGCAGTTCATTTCTCAAAAATAACTAAATAATTCTTTCCAAAATCCATGTACAAGCTGACTCATAACATGAAGCTCCACTCAAGCCACAGCATAGCCATGGTGGATTTAATGCAAAAGTAATTTTCTCAGTTTACATGGAGACCACTCTCAGTGGAAAAAAAAAGCCAGAAAGAAATCTTTTGGAAGTAGCTAATAATCAGACCAAAAGTATGGGCAGTCTGGAGAATTATGTCTTTAATTCTTGAATGGCTCATAGAAAATTCTGTATCAATGACAGAATTTTCTATTTAATTACATGGGGTGATTTAAATACATAAAAAAGGTAATTACAAAGCTTCTGTTAGATTTTGCTTAAAGTATAGTCAAAAGAGACTATGATATAACTGAGACTAGAATTTCAGACATGCTTTAACATGTTTTCAGTGTTGCTCCCTGGAGATTCATCCTGTACAGATCAGGTTATTTAGAGATTAAGTGCCTGGAAACAAGAGAGGTTACAATATGAAATACATTAAAAAACCTGGAATTAATTTTATAACTTTTGCTAAGAGAACTGATAACACACAGCACAACTGACCCAACATCTACAGATCTGCTTGTAATTACTACTTTCTACTACAATAGCTTCCTGTTACTACCATGTGGGTAACCATTGACTCACAACAGTAGAAATGTCACTCTGACTCAATACTAGTAAATGCCATTTTCAGAAAAGGAAATACAAGCACTGAAGTGACCAACAAAATGGAGAAATTATGTAGTTTGGTATCTGCTTTATGCAATTTGAGGCAATTTTTACAAATTCCTTTAAACACTATGAAATGGTAAGTGTGTAAGATGTAAGCTAATTCAAATCTGCTTTGCCATTTTCATGTTAAGCAATTGACATGGTTTTGATATAATCAGTGGTACAAAGGTCCCAAAGTAAAATACTATAGTCACTACATAAGGTATCACTTTAAAATAGAGTTACACTTGGTAAGAATCCTAATTTATCAATAATTATGTATCACTAAAGAATAAGCTGATAAAGGATTTTCTTTCACACATTTCTTGCCTCTCCCTTCCATCACAGTGCTGAGCCCATGTGAGCTGTGCCTGCACTAACAGAACTGCAAGACTCAGTGCAAGAGAAGCAATCAAGGATGGAGTGACAACAAAAGCACCAGATGCCACTGATGCCTCTTCCACACTTCACTCCTCAGGCATCACAGCAGAACAAGGAACCTTCCTGACTCCAGGGTTTCCTAGTAAAGACAGATTTGAAGAGGCACAGCCACTCTCCTAAGAGATTAAAAATAAAGTGCTGACAAATTCTGTTGTCAAATAAGCCTGTAATATCAGAATTACATAGTGTTAGGGTATTTTACTCCAGTTATACAGTCTAGATCACATTCAACTGTTCATTTAGCCTAGCACAAATCTCACTCAGTTAATCCTCAGGGTAAGTTCCTTTCAAACAACTTTTTAAATGAAATGTTAATGAAGGCCCACATTTTAATCTTCTATCCCTCCATTTATAAAGTGATTTTAAATATCACTGAAAGACAGCACTTGGATACTAACAGTCCACTGCAAGGACTTCCACTGAGAAAACAAGGTGAAAAAAATAGCCCTGTCCCCAAACACAGAAATTGTACAAAAAAAGGCCAAATAAAGGTTTGTAACAGATTTTACTTATAGAAAAGCATCATTTTAGCATCATTTCACAATAAAAAGGCAACATCTGTTGGACATTATAAAGACATGGTATATCAATTCAGAATGCAACAGGTAAAGCACACCATAATACTCAGTGTAAAAGTTTGAGACACGCTATTGTATTTAGCCAGTTAGTCCTGGTGCCTCTTTGTGGATATTTTCTTAATTACAGGATATTTTCTCTCTGCTTCATACATGTCAGAAGTATATTTTGGAATATAAAAACCTGGAAGTGTTAAACTACATTGAAAAATCAAACCCAGGACCCATTTCTCTCTATACACAAACAGCTCTACCTTGTATATAAACTATCTGTCCCATCATTGTATGCCCCCTTATAAAAAAAGATTAAAAAATGTCTTGATGCAGAAATTTTTTCCATCTTCTCACTTCTGCATTCATGCAATTTCATGATCAGGTCTCCTTTTCCAAATACTAAGATGTAAAATTAACGGTTACTTTTCCTGGGGCTTTTCCAACATCTTCAGTGCTAATCTTCCAACCATTAGCAAACTGTTTAAGGGGAAAAAACATATAATTTAACAATAATAACAATAATTTATCAATTTCTTTTCAGATACTTCATCCAAGTGATGCATGGGAACAAAAATAATACACAAAATATCTTCACTCCATCTGAGTTTAATTAAGTGAATAAGAAATCACACACAGGAGGTTAAAAAAAAAAGTATTGTACCTGACACCAGCAATTAGCCCTGCAGGCATGAATTTTCTGGAGTGGTAAAATCTTGTTCCCATGACAGCAGTCAGTGCTCCAGATGTAACTTAAATGAGAGATTGTACAGTCCAGTCAGCAGAGATGCATGTGTGGGAGAAACATAATTCAAAACTAACGGAACAGGGAAAAGTAGCAACATCAAGGAAAAAGAGAAACAGGATTACTTCACTTAATGGACAATGAGAGTCAATAAATTGTGTAAATTTTAAAATGCCTCAGTTTGTAAAGAGTAAGTATTCTGTATCAAGTTCAAGCAGACAGTGCACTCTATATCCTTCTGCACATACTTCTCAAATTTGTTTTTCAAAATGTGCTCTTTTTGAGACTGGAAATAATTTATGATACACTGCTCTAGAACTCACTCCTTCCACACACAAGGAAATCACTAAACTTGTGCACTTATTTCCCTCACTTCTCAAAAAAGGGAGAGAGCATTTGTCTAACTTGTAGTAATCATGTCTAACATGTAGCATCATGTTTAATTTGTAGTAATGTTATGAGAATTAACTAATTTGTTTTCTAAAGACTTCAAAAGGGAAGTGTGCTAAGCATTACCAAGGTGAGAATTAATTGTCCCAGACCACTGGACACAGAGACAGGAGCCAGGTACTTTCACTGACTCAGTAAGATAGAAAGGACAGTCCCTGAACATGGTATCTCAAATAAAGACTGAATGCTAAAAAACTGTAAGGAAAACATACACTGTTGGAATCCTTATCCTTAGTATGCATCTGCTACCCAGTGGCAACAGCTACACACATGTTGTTCCAACAACTCTTTTATCCCCTACTGTTGTTTCTACATGATGACTGGTCCTGCAGGATCCAGTTCATCTTCAGTCCTAGCCATGACATCCTTCCTCCCTAACACCAAACAAAATATTGTCACTGAACACTTCCTAATCTCACATAATGAGATATGTAAGAGACTAGGACCATAGTCCAACACACAATAAAACAAAAATATTTCAGTATTAAAATGCTTCAAGCTCTAATTAGTAGCCTGTCTTCAAAATATGCACACCTCAAAATGAAATTTTGTTTCAAACAGCAGCAGAACACATCTTCTTCAAAAATTCTGAGGCATGAAGAGGAAAAGACTCCATATGCTGCTGAGCTACAGAAATGTATCTGTCTCACACATTTGGGAAAACACTTAACCTCACACTTCTTCAGCTTGCTGTATCCGCAGTTTGTTATGTTATTAAGGCTTGACCATGCACAGCTTTTGGCCTGGCCAGTGGAAGTGGATTGCCTGTAAACAAAGGTGAAGTGGAGAGAAATGCTGGGCATTCCCCTTTGACTTGTGACTTCCACATGTCAAAGAGCCAGATGCTCTGTCACTGCTTCAGAGGAAAAATGCTGTAGTCAGTGGTGGCTCTTTAAACACTGACTAAGCAGTGACTCTCCACAGTTACCTTCTCAAATTGCGGGAAGGGAAGAATTCTGAGAAGGAAGAAACAGCATTACTGAAGCTTGCTTCTCTCTAAAATCTCCCCAGGCATCAACACCTTTGTAATTTCACATATTTGTCATTTATAAAAATAAGCCAATCACAATCTCTGCCATTTTCTGTGATAATAAAATAGTCTGCTAGGGGTATGGTCAGTCTGAAGGGGAATCCCACTTCCCAAAATGTTATAGCCTGCTGCAGGATGCTCAAAGTACAAGGTTCCAGGCAAAAATAGTTCAGAAATCCATTTATTAGCACTTTTCTTGCACTGTGATCCTTCAAACACATCAGTATAAGACAGATGCATATTGGCAGCCACCAGTTCAGTTAAGTTTAGACAGCACTGAAGTTAGATTTGTAACACTATCTGTGTTTAACTCTTCTGCAAAGACTATTAGGTACTAATTTTAAATATACAGGGTAAATGTAATCCTTTTCAAATAAAATTTTCAATTACTTACTCAGAGAAACCCAAATGTTATGTGGATTCTGTGAGACCTGATAAGCACCCAGTCCAGCCAAACTCCCAAAGAAAAGGCCAGCAGCTAGCGATGGAACACTACCTGAATAAGTAGAAGATAATGCATTTCTTAGAAACTTAAAGATTACGTTGGTCAGCAGCTTAACTGTTTTGTAAAACACCAAAAATTATAAAAATAAAAAAATATGGGCATTCATCATTCATTGACATAAAGAAGACTAGAGAAGGGGGTTTTTAAGATATTGAGACCATGCTGATCAGCACAAAGAACCACTTCAATTACTCTTGCATAAGATACATTCAGAATTAGTATTTAGTTCTCTAACAGCAAAGCCATTAATACATCCATGATTGAAAGAACAGTGAGAAAAGCAAAAGAATTGGTGTTTCCCTTGCACAAACTGAAGCCTGTTGCTTCAAAACAGTTTTATGAAAATTCTTTGAGACGCAGTAAAATAGAACGACTAAATTGTAAAAATTTAAGATCAGAAAAAAGGACATGTGAGTGGAATTGGGCAGGAGGGCATTCAAAGAACTGCCAAGGAGCAGGGCATAGCTGAACATGAGAGGTCATATCTCCTAAGTACACCTGAGATTTGATCCAAAGGTAGCTGCAGCCTTTGGAAGAAAGTTCCCTCAATGCACCTAAACTTTGAATCAGGTCCTTAGTATAAATGATAACCCCAAGCTACCAGAAAATAAAGGATGCCACATCTAAATTGGTTATTTATAGAGTATATCAAGTAATGAAGTAGCACGATCACTGTGAGTGGTGAATGCCCTCCATAAGGCCAACAGAGGATTAAGGACTTAATGCTACTGAAGGTGGTTCTTTATACATTCCATTTCTGAGGTCACCTTTCAAAGACTTGAGATTGAAAAACTAAGTTGATAAAGATCTCCTGTCAATGTTAAAGGAGGACTGCATATTGCTTCCAGAAAGTAATAATTTTTCAATCATCAACAAGGTTGCTGTAATATTGCTTTGTATCCTGCTTATGGTATAAAAAGCAAGATAAAAGATGATAGAAAGCACCTGATATAGTTGCACATGTGCAAGGAAAAGATGCACACTCTACTAGGTGGCTGCTTTGCACAGAATATGAGTTTAAAATAAATCTGTGGTGGCTACAATGCTTTCCACAAGCCTGGGAGCCAAGAAACATCCATAATTTCCTTGAATTTTACCTCAAGGCATTGTTTAAGTAGATATGACACATACACTTCTAGGACAACCACATCACCTCTGGCTCAAGAAGTTCCTACATTTCAAAACACAGGGACCCAGAGAACTTGCTAAATGAAGACAGAAAAATAAATCAATAACTCACTCACTCACTCTCCCTTTGATTGCCATGTTCTCATACTGCTCCAAAGGCACCTACTACTGCCCCCTGTCTGTGTGGGTAGATAGATCAGGTTGTAAAAGAACAGATGAACTTAGTTCTATGCATGAAAGTTCCATTTTCTTTTGGTTTCTCCAAGTTATTAGTAAGGATATAATGGCTCCTTTGTATGGTTGGTTTTTTTTTTCTCTCTCCAGCAGTTACCATACGAGTTTCTGTTCCCCTTCAATAATCCTGTGACCTGGATTCCCTTGCCTGAACATAACCATGTCCTCCCAATTGGGTTCCAAAGGACAAGAAAGACACCCATCATTTCATAATGGCCTTGGAGAAATACAGATGCAATTAGTTACTTAAGTTCTCAGTATTGTCCCTTCTGTCCTAAACTCCACTCACAACCCAAAGGATAAATCTAGGCCAATGGAAAACAGACTGGAATAGGCACTAGCATCTATCTAGTCAAATGCACTGGTAAGAGTCTTACTGACTTCAGCAATGCCCCTTCCTATCACAAAAACTAAGATGGCTTAGGGATTTTCAAAGCTGAAAGAGACAGTGTCGCAGCAGGAATAAATCCACAGTTCTGTCTGGAGGAGGGCAAACTCAGAAAAAGGACAGGAAATGAAAGCAGTAGGTCAGAGGGTAAGCTTATGATGCAGAGCCCAGAAGAGAAACAATTTTAAGGACTGATTTGCACTGTTCAGCTCTACTTGGAGAAAAGATAGTTCTGAAAGCTCTCTGCAGCTTGCAGTATACTGTTATCATCAAAGATTAAAATGGGAATAAATCTCTTAAGGAGGAAAAGTGGTGATTTATGTCACTTGAAGATACAGAACACTTACAGAATGCTTGTATTTTAAACAGCAAGGAAAAAGCCTTTCTGAAGCAAACTTATGACAGTTCACCCAAAGAGCACAGAGCAGATATCAGCATCCTCCAGAAAACAGATTATGGCCTTATCAGCCCAAAGCACCAGCTCAACTCAAAATCCAGCACACCCCAACAGCAGCAAGTTATCAGCACATGGCACAAACCGATAAAATTTACATATGGGTCAACTTCGAGATAGGAGGCTTTCGTTAAAAGCTGCCCAGCTCACACCAAGTTATTGGGGAGAGGGAGGAGGGGGTGGTGGGGGAAGAGGGAGGGAGACAGAAGCACCTTTCGGCACCCTACCTGCTTTTGCATAGCCAATGATCCCTCCTGATGCCACCAGGGCGGCGTAGCCAAAACCGAGCCAGTCCACTGCCATGCCGAAAACTGGAAGAGAAAACTGGGGTGAAGATCAGCACCTCTTAACCTTTTTCAGGGGAGGAAAAATTTAAAAAAGCAAAGCATTTTACTATGGCAAGCTTTTCCACAAGCAGGACCTGCCTAAAGCCTCGGCCCTGAGGCGAGCCCAAGGGATGCAGGCGGCGTTGTTGGGAAGGCAGCGCCGGGGGCACAGGGACACCGCGGGGCCCACCTGCGCGGCCGCCCCGCTCCGCAGCCACCGGGGCGGAGCAGGCGGCGGAAGGGGAGGCCAGGCAGCCACGCACCGCCCAAAACTTCCCTTTTCCGGCTGTTCTGGGGAAGGAAAGGAAAGCTGCAAGCGCGAAACCCAAGTGAAAACTCACCGCAGAGGCAGGGCAGGGTGAGGCCCGCAGCCAGGGGTTGCGGAGAAGGAGGCGCTGGTGTCTTTGCACCTACGTGTGGAGCTCCCGGGAATCCCCCAGCAGAGCGGGAGGCGAGTGTGAAAAATGTCAATCACTTGTTTTTAAAATTTTGAAAGTTTAATAATAATAAAATGGTTATAAAAATAGTAATACAATTAGAGTAATAATAATTTGGATAATTTGAATTAGGACAATGTGAGACAATAGAACCAAAGAGTTACGGACGTCTGGGTACCTTTTTCTGGGCAGCACGAGCCTGAAAAAGGACCCCCGTTAACAAAGGATTAACCCTTAAAAACAATAGCCTGTTGCATATTCATACACTTCATACATGATGCATAAATTCCATTCAAATACAGGATTCTGTCTGGTCATCGTCAACTTCTTCCTCTGAATCCTAACAGCACCTTCGAGGCGGGAAGAAGTTCGTTTCTTCTGATAAGAGGGCAATAAATTCTCTTTCTCTGAAAGATTTAGGTGTCCTGTGGCTGCTATTTCACTGCAAGTCCTTTCTGTTAAAAAAAGTATCCTACATAGCATAGTTTCTATTTTAACATTTTTTATAACCTAGGACTATATTTAACACACTACTTAAGAGAATTAATACAGAATTAATTACTTTCTAACACAACACATATAATGTTCATTTTAATATTTGTGAAAAGCCAATCATAAAATACGCATTTTTCACATCGGGGATGCCTGAGCAAGCCCTGGTGCCTACAGCCTACAACTGACTCAGTACAGAGCAGGTTTTGTGCTCCTGTTCAGTGAGGGGCAAAGCTCCTGCGGAACTGCAGTCGTGTGAGTCGTGTGCACCTAACCCCCCCAGAAGTGGGGTTACATGGTACAGCTGAAAATTTGGGCTTGGGTTTTGGTGTAGCATGAGCTACAATTCTGGGCAGCCTACAGGCTGCTTCCAGCTTTGAGCAGTATAACTCTTGTACGGAACACGTAGAGGATTTCTAGGACCTCCAAATTACAAACTAGTACACCAGAAAAAGCAGTCTTGTGCTGTAGAAGTTATTCAACAGTGGGAGATGGAAAACATCTTGTAAAGAAAATGTTTGGCATTTTTTTTGACCTGGAAAAATGTGGAGATGACTACTGCCTACAAACCTAAACTCTTTTCTGAGTGCTGAAATGGAAATTGATGATATTACTTCAATTGTCCCATGGATGTTTCACCATATAGAAAGAAAAAGTACTCCTGTAGCCAGATTCCTAAACTGAAGGGGTTTGATTCCTCTTCATAATAGAAGGCATAAAACGCGAGAGGCCTGTACTTTCTGCAAAATGCAGCTTTCTGTAGCTGCATTTCAGATTTTGCCATCTTTATGAATTTGCATAATGGTCAGAAAGTGGGGAGACTTTAATTTGTTGGCCTCAGTGGTTTAAATAGGAATCTCCTCCCTCTGTGCAAAGGGCCACAACCAACACATATCTAAGCTATAATGGGATTATGGAAATACCATACAGATGGTATTTCCTTTTTAATTCAAGCTATGTAATAGCTGTGATGTTCAAGCTTCACTGAGCTCTGCTTTGTGATCCAGCACAGGGAAGAAGAAAACTGGTAGAAATCCACAGCTGCTGGAGCTGTTGAACTCACCTGGGGCTCAGGTGAGATGCTGCTCCCTGAGCTGTTGCTCCTTGCAGCTGTGGCTCCATGTGCTCTCCCAGTGTCATGCACACCCACCCCTTCTGACAGGGACAGCTTTGTCACTGCTGACATCTCCTCTCTCTGCACTGCTGCCTCCCCTCTACCATTCTAAGCAGTTCCCTGAAAACTAGAATGGAAAATGTGCTGAAAAGGAAGATGTACACAAAGATATGACAACAACAAATTCCAAAGTACTCATTAGTAGCAGAGTATTCACTCAAGGTATAAAAAATATGGCTTTTCCCCTAAGGACTGTTCTTTGTCTCCAGTTCACTAATTGTTCTGAGTCTCGTGCGATGCATAATTCTTTGTTACTACACAGGGGATTTAGATTTTTACAAATGTGTAATTACTTCTAAGTTCAAACTTTAGAATCCAAATTCTGTGGAATTTTTGCTTTTTAATCTTAAAATTACATGCAGACTGGATTTTTTTCCTAGTGCTTCTGCAACTGTGATCACTGTGTCCATGAGCTCATGTATTTAAAAATTCAAACAATAAAAACAGTTTAGCAATGGCAGACATTTTGTCAAGGACATAAGATAAGCACTATCAAATAGACATAAGACTTTACAAGTGAAATTGCTGCACACAATTCTCTTATTTAGTCTTATGCTTTTTCTTATATTTACTGTAGAAGCCTTAGGAATTAAAAATCTGGCACCTTTCTGTCAAGTCAACAAACCATTTGAAGTCCTATATTATTTCCATGTGTTTGTGAACACAAACATTTAGGGTATCATTAAAATTAAAAGCTGTGTAAGCTCAAACTTAATCTCTTTAATGTTGAAATAAACTGAACTTGCATAAATCAGCTATATTGAATATCCAAATAAGGGGCTTTGTTCATTTATCTAAGTAAGGGAAACAGTTACAGAAGGTAAATATGGACACCCACTTCCAAGAGAATACTGCTACTGCCACATGAACAATTCTGTAGCAGCACTGATGATGCTCATTTTGTTTCAGTGTCAGAGCACAGAGCTGGAGTTACATCCCGTTTTATGTCTCTAAACCAGCCTGCATTCCTCTCTCTAGATTTGGCTCAATCTTTTTTCTGATTTTTTCTACTTTTTCTCTTGCTACACACATAAGGAGGAATGGATGAAGTGAATCAGAACAAAGCATAATTCCAATTACTCTTTGAAAACAGAAATAGTAATGACTACTCCAGTAGTGCAGAAAACAACATTAACATGCCGTACAGCTTAAAATAAAGAAAGAAAACATTTAGTTTACCTCTTTGACCTTGTTCAACTTTGTTTTTCCCACTGTATATTTGTAATAAGGCTTAGGATGAATTCCTGTTCCCATTGACTGAGAAGGTCAGGAATTTACTTTTTGTTTAAGTGCAAACATAAGACGTGACATTTTAGCAGCATGGCAAAAATTTCAGGTGCTATATAATTCTTTTTTTATAAAAAACATATAAAAAAAAGGATTTGAAAAAATACATTGGGAAGGGGGAAGAAAAGGTAAGATCTTATTGATATAAACTCTTCCGCCTAAAATTATGTATCATATTGTCAACAAAATCTTTCAGTGATGTGAACCATGGGTGCAAAGATTTTTTAAAAAATTAAATATATTTAAGTATGAACACAGTAAAAAAGCCAAATATGCTCATAAAGTCCATGTCAAAAATTAGGAATTACAGTTTTCCATGAGTGCAAGAATGGAATGTGATCATTGTATTTTAAGTATTTTTAACATATTCTTTCTTACAGTAGGAAAAGAAATGTAGGACAAAGTCAGACCATACCTTGAGTCAAATGAACAGTAACATTTTCAACACTAAAAAGTGTACATGTTTTTAATATGCATTTAAGTGAAACAAAAATGTAACTGAGAAAGATGCAGCTATTTTTATTATTTTAGCTGGCTTTTTCAGAGCCAGTTAAAAAGTGTATGGTATTGTTAATAGAAAAATATAAACATTACATATTATGAATTTATTTTGGCTTTCTTCACTTAGGGAAAGTTCCCAGAATGATCAGTCAGTTTATTAGGGTAAGAACAATAATTACTTTTAAACAATACATTGGATCAGAGGTATATGTCCTGTTAGGGTTTACATTCTTATAAAAAATAGGGCAACACCAGCATTTACTTTTTGTACAGGAGACAAAGTAGCTGCCTTCATGCGGAGCTATTCTGTTTCTTTTTCTTCTTTTGCACTGGAGCTTCCAGTTTTTGTTTCTGTGGAATAATTTTTCTCTTTCTTTTTAATATTTTAACCCTTTTAGTAGTCCAAAAATCTTTGTTTGTCCTGGCTATTGATGATTTTTCATCTTCTGTTTCTGAAAAAAAAGCAAAGAATTATTCACACTGACCTTTATGTCAAGTCTTTGTAGTCTAAATGGCAGAGAGACTTATTTGTATCTCATTTTTAAAAAAAGGGCTATAAATATATTTTTATTTTCCAGTAGAAAGTGCCATTTATGCTAATTTTGCATGTGAAATTAAAATCCATAAAGGTCAAGTATGCAAATAGATTACAATGCAGAAAAACAACAGCAGAAAACCCAAACAAATCTGAGCTAGACTTCTTAAGTTTGCCCCGCTACAGTGGCCTCACACCTAATTTTGCTTATAACAAAACAAGACATGCAGTTCTATCAACTGTTTGTTTTCTTATCTGTCTCAAAAGCTTTGCAGTGGCTTCCTCGGTATGTTATTCCAGTAACCAGAAAGAGAACTTTAATAAAAGTGAAAATAGGCTTATGTTCTCCAACAAACATATGGGCTTGAGACACTGTCAGATTGGTAATATCTGTATCACTTGCCAGCATCATATCCCCACTTCTTCAAAATACCAGAACATTTTCCAGTGGATATAGGAGAAGCCTCCCACTTGGTGTATTCTATTTCACAGTCACATTAACAATTCAAAATACAAAGTTCTGTTACCTTGAGATGATGTTGCAGTTTTATCAGAGTTTCCTTTCATTTCTGAAGCTTGGTCAAGCCACACTGCAAGACACGTCAGCCTAGCTTTGGTATTGACTTCACACAGTAAAGATGGCCCATCTCTAATCTGAAGAAAACATAAAATAAAAGAAAACCTTATTTTATTTCTGGTTAAATTTAATGAAGTATTTGAAGTGAGAAAGCACCTTACTGCCCACTTTCATTGTTAGGCAATTATATCACTCAGCTTTTGGAATACAAATAGTCTATTTCAGATATCAGGGGATAAAGTGTCACAGACACAGGCAGTGTTAACAGCATCAACCCACAGGAAACTACTGTATTAGGATATCCTACCCCTAGAGCTGGACAGAGCA